TAATATTTGTCTTGGTCAGACAGTTGTGTTTTGCTGCAGTCTTCATTTTGTCCCAGCATGAAAACAAAGTTCCATTGATCCCATCCACACACACGAGATATCATTGGCGAGGCCAGGATGACTTTTACTGAGCAAATCAGGACTTCGTCGGGCGGAGCTCAAATGAGTCAAAAGGTCTACCATCTACCAAAATCAAATTAATAGGCTGGGTCTCAGGACAATATGATAATAACATTATACTATTATATTTTAAGACATATTTCAACTGATTTGATTCAAGTTTGCTGTGTATGCAAAAAAAAAAAAAAAAAACGTGTTTCATCTGGATCGTACGTCCGTCCGTCCATCCACATCCGTCCATCCATCCACCCAAACGTTTTACGATTCATTCAATTCGTCAATTTTGATCATTTTTAGAGAACACGTACTAAAAAGAAGTGCAGAAGTTATCAGTTCTTGTTAATTTGTATTCTTCACCTGGCAATCCTTCACCTGGCTATCCAAAATGACACTTCTTTTGTCAAGAAATTGCAAACTTTATAGTCATTTTTTTTTTTGAACCATTTTAAAGTTAACCAGATTACGGTTGAAACACTATGATTTGGGTTTCAAAGTAATAATAAAACCCAGATTAACCCACAGTTTCTATATTTTCTCGATAAATACCACAAGTTTAGATTTATTTTGAAAAAAATACCGGATGTTGTTTTACCAAGAAATGCTTTACGTGCCTGTATCTGTCTTGCACTACTCCACTCACTCATTACGAAGCACCCGAGCCCTAGGTGCTTGTCCGGATGGAGGGCGAACCTTTCACTTGATTTGGTTTTTATTTTTGTCCGTTCATTTTGCCGCAGCATGCACAGTATTTGGGATTTTTCTGACTGACGTGTTTTTTTCGCGTAAGGATGACCATTTTCAGCCATGCGCTCGTTCGTGACGCCGTTCTGTCTAGTGTACACAGGCCAGTGATGTGCTATGGTGATACAACAAGCTAATACGACGCTAGCAGGGGGGACTGATTTGGGAGACACCTTTTGAACACCTCAGCAAATGATTCGTACGCTTTGTTAATTTTCAACACGCTGGAACACCAAGGGGGATGTCTAACCAAGGAGTTCGAAGGAATGGCCCAGTAAAGCTGCGGTTGACAGGTAAGCGAATTTAAACCCCCTCCCCTCTCCCTTGTCCCCCTCCCGCACCGCTCGTGAAGCGTTAGCATGCTAGCCACCCTAGCTAACTAATACTGGTGGTCAGCTGGCGATGTGGAGCGCGTGGCACACATATTTCTTACCTGGCGTGCACTTTTAGACATTGAATGTCTCCTTGTGAACACTAACGCATGCATTGACGTATATATGCTCGCGGGGAGCAAACATTCATACGCATAGGTTTTCGCACTGAAAAGAACCCAATGAATCACTCACTCGTCTTTACTGATGACGTCCTGGCAAAGGCCAACAGGATCGACAAATGTAAAGCAAATAACAGCATGCAAATCGATAGACACTGAAGTGAATGCATACATTTCCTCAAGCAGGGAAGTATTTAGTCATTTGAGGGCCCAAGGCAAACGGGTCCTCCATGTACAACTTCACCGACAAAAGGTTTCATTTCAACTCCACACAAGGTCTTCAAAGATAAATTCCTTCAAATCACCCATTAGGATTTAAGACTACACTGATCTACCACATTTATTTATTTATTTTATTTTTTTTATTTGTAGGAAATTCAAGTAAAGTCCTACATTTTTTTGGCCTGATTCCGAATCTGCTTTCGTTTTTTTTTTCAAGCGCATCAGGTTTTCGTCGTCGTCATCATTATCATCACAAAATAACAATGTAAAACAATATGATGATAATATGTCATGTAGTAATGTGTAGTATTTGTGAATTAAGGGTTAGGTTCAGCAACAGGTGGATTTTGTTCCCTCCAACTTCTTAGCCATAAATTACAGCACGTGGTAAATAATAAAATAATAAAACCACAAAATTACGAATAAACAGAAATATGACACCCCCTTTGAACCCAAATGAAATTACATCCTGATTTGCCCTGTGATGTGTGATATGAAGTACAGTATTTTCATTCCATTTGGTAATTTGATTGCATTCTAATTGTAATACCAGGATCTATGGAAACGTGACTGGTCTTTCTGTCTTTGTGTTGAATCCGTATTGCACATTTGTAACCAGCTGCTTTTTCTTTGGGGAAAATAATGATCTACATTTACCCCTATTTTCTAACACGTCGCAGACCAAAATAGTAACTGAATCATAATTTTTTTTGTCCATTTTCTGCACTGTCGATTTGGAGCGTTGTCCTGAAGAAGAATAGAAGGAAATAAATGCAACATTTTTTTTTTTTTGGTAATCTAATTCATTAAAAAAAATCAACAGACGAGTTCATTTAAAAAATATCGATAGTTCTAAAACTGAAAATTTTAACATCACGCTTGTTTCGTAGAATTTTGTGATGTCACAATGAACGCTTAAAACGCTAAGTCAGTGTTTTTAGTATGTTAACAACTAATTGAAATTGAAGTGTCTTGATTATCAATTTGTGGTTCATTTGCCTTTATTTTAGCATAAGCCTAACCTGTACGACCAAAACATTTATATACAATAAAATGTAACGACAAATCTGTTATTGTTCATTGTAATATAGATACATTTATTGCTTGTGTTTGTTAAAAAAATTCAAAGGAAGATGACTTCATTACTGGGGGATAGGGGGATCACAGTTGGATTATATTTCAAAATCGTTCAGCCCTACTCATAAATCAAGTTGTCACTAATGAAAATAATGATAGTCGTGTCAAATTACGTGCTCGGTGTGAAATTCGGGCCTGTTTAGATAAAGACAAAGCTGTTATTGTGTTGTATGAATGGCAACAGGTGGACACACAATCCACTTTTCATAGTTCTGCCTGTCAATATTCATCACTGCCTTGATGAATACATGAACAAAGATGTGCAATCTGTTATTTGTGGTAAATAAATCATAAAATAATAATTTGACCCCAAGTCTGCATTAAACATGGTCCAAGCAAATATTTGGACAAATATTAACTACATCGCCACCTCTCATTTTAAGTCATAGTGTAGAAGCCGAAAGCTTGTGTATTCATTGACTAATCACGCCGTTACTAGTCACCCCATTAGGTCACGCTAAGCAAAAATATCTCAATCAAATCTTGCATTGGATGGTGTACCTAAGCTTGTGGCCAATGTGTGTGTGGTTTGTGGCACAGAGAGTTGTGTTCCTGTTGCCATCTGTATAATGTGGAGCGATTCTGCCTACAATTGGATCCTTCAGCTTGGCCCGTGTGGTGATAAATGTTGACTGTACTCCACATGAATGACACGTCCCCTTGATATATTCCTCACCCAGTGCATTACAGCAAGGTGGAGTAATAAGATCTACACACTTTAAAGCCGTTCTTTCTGCGCCCCGGACTTTTTTTTTCTCTCCTCCATATGGGGAATGGTTTTAAATGGGTCGCAGTGGTCTTAAGACGGAATCCCAGGAATGTGAAACCTCAGAGAGGAAATGTGAGTCTTGCCGATCATAGACATATCCTCTGTCTGTCTTTCACTTTAGGATGTCTATGTAGGCCCAATTTTTCATTGATATCCTGCAAAATTGCTGAGCCGTAAACGAAGACATGCCATTTATGCGCTTTTGTCTTTTGCACAGAACCCAGCCAAACTTAAGTGTTGCAGAAACAGCCTCCTTGTTCACACAGCATCCTGCCACCAGATAATAAAATCCATGACAGGGTCTGAAGTAGTCTTATTAAATACTAGGGGGAGGCTCACTTGTCAAACTGTTCCAGCATTTGGAAATACCCTTACTCACATGCGACATCTTCCCTGTTTTATGGCTCTAGCACCTCTTACACCACCTGGAAAAGCCACCTATTTTCCATCATTTTTGCACGTTGTTGTTCTGTATGAACTTTAGGCGGCCCGCTGCACACTGAGCAATGCAGCTGAATGTGACTGAATTGGACCACCGTGAAAAAAATGACAGTTGCCAACTTATGGCCGCATGTCAGTCGACATGCTGCATTAGGGAAAATGCTACCCTGTATTAATGTTTTTCCACATACAATATACTGTACTGTTCACCCCCACCCCCCACACACTCCATTGAACCGTAAAAACATGTCATGATTGTCATTGCCTTAAAGAGAGACACAGGTGTCGAACAGGAGAGAGTGTGGATATTTTGAGAGCGTGTTGGCGGTGATCGACTGCACCTTTGCATTTTTGTAACAGAATCTCTGAGCTTTACTTTGTAGCCACAGGTACTTATGACAGTGTAGATCTAGTTGCGAGTTATTGTAAAACACAATACATTCTTGCGGTATTACATTCATCTTGTCTTGTTTGTCCAAAATAAAGGTGTTTAGGTGTTGTTCATTTGTATGTGTGAAGCTCATTGAGTTGCCTGGTGTATGAAATGTGACATATTTGCCTTGTCTTGCCTTCTTTTGTCGTGTTCTCTTAATAAACTTTGACTCAACTTTCACCACATGATAGTTAGCTATCAAAATATATTTGCAGGTTTGTTTTAAATTTATTTTCTTCAGACAATTGTCCCACCCCAGTAGAGAGCAAGTTCTTTTTTGCTGACTATTTCGGCAACTAGGCAAGAGCTCTTTCTCTTTAGTCAGGCTTGAATGGCAGTTTTGTTTTTAGGGTTTTTTTTTTTTTGTCGTCAACAGTAATGTGATGAAAGTTGAGTTGAAGTCTATTAATACACAACAACAATGATCATCTTTCAGCTTAGTACAGTGCTCCCAAACCTTTTTTCCTCCACAGACCATTTTCACATAAAAGCAAGTTTCGATGGACAGGTAAAAAATTTATAAAACCAAATGATTAAAAAATACAGCTCACTATTAATCTGAATGTAGTTTGTACATTTTTTGTCCGCTTCAAAGAGCCAACCGGTTTCATCTTGTGTTATGTTCCATCGCATAATGTTTTATGCTGAGACATCGTAGCAAGGCTTCAAAAAAATTAAAGCAGTTCTCCGTTTCGCTACTTCTATTTCATTTGTGCTTTTATTGTATTTTGGAATAGCCTTGTTTGTTTTTGCAAATGACTGTGAAATTGGTCTCATTTTTGGTTAAGTATTTCCACACACTTCTAGCATAGCATGACCACGTCCCGTACTACAATAAATTCTAAGACATAATGTCATAAAGTGCCACAAGTGTCATGGTGTTGCCGTATGTTGGAGTCGGAATAAAGTTCTCTTTATTACACAGCGGTTTTTGCCCGTGCATTATTATAATGTGCATTATGACATAGCATTTCATCAACAAAGATGAAGCTTGACTTTGCGCTGCTGCGCTTGTTCTTCACCACCAGCCATGTGGTCCCACTCATATGAATATTTTAAGACAAGCGGCAATACAGTAGTAATAGCCAAAGCCAGCAACGCTAATAGCTCTTCTCATCCGCAACCAGCTTATATTCATACACTCAGACCAGACGTATGAAGGCTGTGTCACCTTGTTGGCCGGGCATTTTGATGCTTCGCAGAGAGTTGCAATTCAGCGACGAAAGCAGACGGGTGAGTTGAACTCTGTAAATTGGTCAATTGGAAGACGAGATGATCAAAACACCTGATTAGCAAATTGTCCACCTCAAGCTTCAAACATCAAGGATCAATAATCAGTTCAAACTCTAGTATGTACTATATTGGTACGAGTTGGCGGTGGCGGCCGGCTCACTTGTTTTTATGAAAGCTCATGTGCATTTTTGATTGGCTCTTATATCGGCAGTGTTGTGACGTCGTTCACCAGAGATTTAAGTTTGGAATTTCGGCAAAATCAGTGGCTAACAGTCAGCCACTCATGAAGGCTAGTTACCAAACTCCCGCACACTGCACAACAGTTCACTTGGTTTCGGCTGCATCGCTTGATATGTGGTGGGTCTTACATAGTGCCCGCAAGAGCACCTATGTATAAGGCAAAACCATCAAGATAGCCCACAGGAGTGAATTGTAATGTTCACTTCTCTTGCCCTGTTTTGTTGAAAGCAGTTGTTCTTTTTGACACACCGCTGACACCATTGTGAATCTAATTATCTGATGAGACACAGTTGTATCAATATCCCGTTTTGTATAAAAAGCAAAT